TTTTATATTTAGATGTATCAAGTTCTCTAAAGGTTTCAATCCGTGTATGTGCAAATTCGCCATGGTTGCATCCAATCTATTGTTCTGTAAATTCAGAATGCGCAAATTTGTTAATCCTATAAAAGATAAATTTCTTAATACGTTGATCGCATTGTTTGAGAGATCCAGTTTCAGTAGATTAGTCATGTCAGAAAACGCCTGATCAGGAATAACTTGTATTCTGTTTTCCTTGAACGATAGTTCTTCGATGTTACTAGGGAGTTTGGGAATCTCTCTTATTTTCAATCCGGAACAATCGACAGAAAACAGCAGCGTGACCTGGTTTAGTCGACATGTACATTTTTTGAGGAAATAACAACGTTCATGTCTTTCATATGCTGTCACTACATGGTATACATATCGAAGTAGAAACAGTTGAAGCAACGTTAAATTCATTTTCTTCGCACTCTAAAATATGTAATAAGAAAGACTTATACAATTTGTAAGTAAATAATATATCAAAAGCCTAACAGCAATATTTTGTAGTCATTCTTTGTTGTTAGGTTTTGTTTTATTAATCTGTTGTCGACGTATTGCCATTGTGTTATTGCGCTATGGTCATTTTTTGTATTCTTATCTTTCATTTTTGCTTATGTACTTTGTCTATAGTGTGTGTATATGCCATTTTGTTTTTCTTTGTTAACATTGTTGTTTGTTTTTATAGTGATCAAGATAATAACACAATGTTGACTGCTGTACTCCAATTTTTGACATTATTACCTTTTATTTCTGTTTGTTTTGTTCACACATTTTTGTCAATATAATGGAATGTTATGCGACAGTTATACAAGTGAAAGGTTTAGCTAGCTATAAAACCAGGTTTAATCCATCATTTTCTACATAGGAAAATGTCTGTCAGGAATATGAGAGTTGTTTTCTATTGGTTTGATGTGTTGAGCTTTTGATTTTGCCATTTGAAAAGGGACTTTCCGTTTTGAGTTTTCCTTGCAGTTCGGTATTTTTGTTTTTTTACTATTTGCATTTTGATGAGGACTTTAGACTCTGATCTTTACTTACATGTTGTCCAACTGAACATAGTTACATATTTCATGTTTCCCGTAATGATTAATATACCTATGATAACTGCATATTTTGCAAATGAAATAACAATTTATATATTTGATGCGTCCTAAGTGCTTTTCCTGATTTACTTTGACCTGGAACGATCAAACCCCCAAAAATGAAAGCCAAGGATGTATAAGAACTTGCACACATGAGCAGCTTAATGGCTATACGGGTCAGAAAACGAATTGTCAAAACCATCTATTTCGCCTGAGGGAATCAGCACTTTTGTTTCTTTTATCATTTCTATGTTTATCTACGGAGAAGGTAAGAAACTTGTGTTTTAAATCATGTCAGCACCAAAGGACTAACTACTGAGCTGATGACACTGTCGGGAATAGCAGTTTACAAGCAGCGGAATTGACCAGTGTCAGAAAATGAATGTAACGATACATTAATTTGTTGCATCTGAAGCGCATTCCTAGATTCAACTTGATCAGGGACGCTCAAACCAAAAACTTTAGCAAAATTTAAACAACAAAAATACCGAACTCAAAGGAAAATTCAAAACGGAAAGTTCCTGAACAATTAGCAAAATCATAAGCTCAAACACATCAAACGAATGGAAAAAAATGGCATATTCCTGATTTGGTACAGGCATTTCCTTATGTAGAAAATGGTGGATTAAACCTGGTTTTAAAGCTAGCTAAACCTCTCATTTGTATGGCAGTCGCATAAAATTCCATTATATTGACAACAATGTGTGAACAAAACAAACAGACACAATAGGCAAAAACGTCAAAATATAGGGGTAAAACAGTCAACATTGTGTTATAATCCTAATCACTATAAAAACAAACAAACATGTCGACAAAGAAAAACAAAATGAGATATAGACAAAGCACATACGAAAATATGAGGATTGTAAATACATAGCTTGCAGTCCGACAAGGTTTCATTAAAAAAAAATGACAAAAGGCCGAAATTTTAAATATTTGTTTCATTGCTTGGAAACGATACAAGGAAAAAGTTTAAAGGTTTTCCTTAAATAGAATAAAAATGAAAGCAAATACATTTAAATGCATTCAAAGCAAGAAATGCTTTCATCCGTATAGTTTATATGACTAATTCAATTCATAAAAAAAAATAGTGCAAGGATATCACTTTCACTTGCATCATAGCAAAGATAAAATGAAGTTAATTTTGACGGAAAAAACTTAATTCGTGTTCATTTTATATATATTTTGTTACGATATTACGTAAAATGGAATAATTTGTGTAATTGTCCGAAAGTAATTGCTTATGATGTTTTTAAATCACATTGTTTCTGTTTATTTTACAGTTTTAGCTGTTTGTTAGATTTCATAAATTTTAACAAAAGAGATATGAGATGTATACGTTAATGAGACAATCAGCCACCCGGCAGGACATAGCACAACTATGTTGCTTTTTTGTTTGTGTTTTAGTCATTCATAATTAATCTCCTTTTCATGTTTTAGAGATCATATTCCTTCTTTTATTTTAATCATCAACATATTTCTTTCTCAAAATACACTATAATTAAAAATAAAATGTGATAAATTCGTGCATCCTAACCGCTTCTCTGGATTTACCTTCCTTTACCAGGAACGTTCAAACATAATCGATATGAATCCAGGGATGTAAAAATGTGTAGAAACGTTAGAAGCCGTATAACCAAAAGGGACATAAAGAGAATACCCAAATTAATCTAATATCAACTTTGCCTGTGGAAGTTATCTGCTACCCCGTTTATTATTGTAAGAAATAGACAGAACATCTTTAGTGTAGTAAGAAAAAATCATAGGCCAATAACTTAATTAAATGTAGATGTTAAAATTCTTGCTTATACACTTGCACAAAGACTAAAAATAGTTTTAGCCAATATTGTTAATGCCGACCAGAAGGGCTATGTAAAAAATAGATATATTGGTTTTAATATTAGACAAATCCAAGATGTCATTGACTATGCTAAAAATTTCAATGTAGAGGGAGTAATTTTATTTCTAGATTTTTCAAAAGATTTTGATTCAATTGAATGGTTTTTCATAATACAAACAATAAAAAAATTTGGATTTATAAAAAGATTTTATACATTGGGTTGAGACTATATATAATGATATATCAGGGTGCATTGTAAATAATGGGTGGATTTCAAACCCTTTTCAGATCTGTCGTGGAATTTGAAAAGGATGTCCGTTGTCCGCTCTGATTTTCGTACTAGCGGTGGAGATACCAGCATGCAGAATTAGATGTGAGAAAAACATCAAAGAGTTCCAAATCAAATCAAATGGAAAAGACTGTAGTATAAAAATATGTCAATTGGCAGACGATACAACCTTATTTTTAAAATCCAGAAAGGAAATATCTTTAGTCATGAATTTAATAGAAACATTTGGCTCATTCTCTGGTTTAAAATTAAATAGAACTAAAACTGAAGGAATTTGGCTAGGCAGACTTAAACATACTAAAGATAAATTCGAAAGAATCAATTGGACGAAAGAACCAATAAAAAGTTTAGGCATTTATTTTGGCTATAATAAAGAAAAGTGTCAAAAACTTAATTGTCAAAAGCAAGCTTATAAAATTGAAAATTATAAGTATGTGTTAAAAAAGAAAGATAAGCATGCTAGGAAGAATAACTCTAGTGAAGTCTCTTATACTCCCAAATATAACATATATAGGAAGCAATATGATATTACCAAAAGATTTTATACAAAACATTCAAACTATGATATATAACTATATCTGGAATGGGAAAAGAGGTATGATTAAAAGAGATACTTTGTCACAAAATTATACGGAAAGGGGATTAAAAATGATTTGTATAGATACTTATATATCAACAATTCAACTCAAACAATTGGATTAAACAATTATTGTTTGAAGAAAATGCTGAACAAACTTGGAAGATAATACCAAAATATTTTCTAGATAAGATGGGAGATAATTTTTTAATATTCAAAATGAATATAGACAATATAAATATTATTGAAAAAAATATAATAAAACAAATCCCAGAGTTTTATCTGCAGTTAATAAGGACCTGGACAAAAGCAAACGAAAAAACTAAACAAAAGCCTACCATGTTTTGGGAAATAAGGAAACAAATAATATGGGGCAATAAATATATTAACATCAACAATAAATGTTTACTGTTTAAAAACTTGACACAAAGCAACATTCTGGTTATAAATGATTTATTAGATAAAGACGGAAACATATCCCCAGACATCATACTAAGTAAACTAAAAAATAAGGAAAACTGGATAGCTGAGCTTAGAAAACTGAAGAAAGCTACTCCACAACAGTGGACCAATATCATCAAAAACTCACCATCTAAACATACTCAAGTCAATATAAATATAAAAGAAAATCTTAACATCATAAACAAAAAACCTATTCAAACCCTAAATAATCATGACATTTATAACTTCTTCCTTAAAACAAAGGAAATACAAACACCTATTGGCTTTTTAAAATGGAAATCATATTTAACACTGGAAAATACTAATCAAGCATATGAAACATTAAAATTTATCTTTACATTTTCAGATGATAATAGATATAAAATATTTAGATGGAAACTGCTTCATTATATACTTCCCTGTAATAAATTATTAAAAAATGGCATATAATAGAAACAGATACTTGCTTAAACTGTAAAAAAATAGAGAATTTCTTTCTGAAATAGCATCCGATTTTACTGTAGATATATTTTGTAAAACACATATGAATTTCAAACGAATAACAGAAAAACATAATTGCATATATTAATAATCCTAAGGCTTTAAAAACAAACATTTTGGAAAAATTCCTCAGATAATACACTAATGTATATTCCATAAAAGCACTACACTAGTATAAAAAATCATTCAGGTGAAGACATAAATTATATCCGGATTAATGAAAATCTTTGTACTAACACAATTAACCATAATAATGCTTTATACTAATGATAACGAGGCCAGGATAAGGTACCGGTATTTGATGTATCTATTGACAAATGTAAGTGTGTTAATAAAATTTAGTTAAAAAAAAAAAAAAAAAAGAAAAAATCATTTCTTTTTTACAGTGTTGACGAAGAGAGCGGAACTACGTCTGAAAAATGCATACATATTTTATTATTCAAAGTGCAACTTGTAACAGAAATATCTATCTCAAAGTTAAACAAATTCATAACACGGAAATATAGAACATAACATTTACAAAAATAAAATATTTTGATGATATTTTTTACGTGCAAAGGTATTTTTACTTTTACTTACTTGTTTCCCTTTTCATCTCAAAATGACATTTGGGCTTTGTAGTTTGGGTACAAATAAATCATATTTGTTCGATGAACTCTCTGAGTGGATTTTAATATCCTGCTTTGATGTTATTTTAGATTTTTTGATAGATTTAAAAGTATGTCTATTTAATAATTTCCTTAAATGAAATTTGAAACTTCATGCATGTTCACAGTACAGATTGATACATTATTATATCAATCCTGCAGATAATTATTCGAGTTACATGTACGAAGTATTTAATTCTGTAGTGGTTGATGAAAAATGATAACGAAAGATGAAACGGTATTATAATCAAGTAAATACGCTTTTTATTGTGATTTCATAGTAGTTTTGTAGAAAAGTCCTCGCCTTAAGCGTATCTGTCTGTTATGTAAAGGATATAAGCCGATAACAGTCTATTCTGTAAAACATTGTTTAACGTGCCAAAAAGGTGAAAAAAAAAAACAAACAAATACAATCTTTTGTTAAGAATTTTGTCTTCAAGTGTGTAAAATTGTTTTGTGGATAAACTTTATTGATATTTTCCTACATGTTGGCCCCATTAAACAGTAGCTCAATAAACAATAGAAAAAATACAGAGTACAGTTAAAGGTAAAGAACATGTATAGCTACATGTACATGAAGACACAGTGCATGTGTATTATGCTTTTTGTGTGCGCTAGGACTGCATTATATATTTTCCGTGAAAAACTTCATATGCGTTTGGTGTCAAAAATAAATAAAGACGACGAAAGAATATTCTTAATGCAAAAAAGAAGAAAGTGATGTCGTATATAGTGACTATTGTTTCAAACTTTGGATTAAAGGGGCACTAGCTATGAGATACATAACAAATTTAAATCACGATTTTTTTTTTGTTCAATAGTTAATGAAAATGAAATAGTGAAATAATAATTCGCTTTTAGCAGCCAGTACAGTTCAACTTTGTCAAAATAAGCTAAGAAACATTGATGATGAATTATTCACTTGCAAGTGAATAATTCAACCTCATTGAATCCGTATTCATGTGAACTTCAATTCAACCCTTAGGTAGAGATGGATTACACATGATTTATGCGTGTTTGGTTATTAATAGAAAAGAATATCAACCGGAAAGTGAAACAAAAGTAAATCATTTGATTGGCTGGTTCGATCTACAAAACAACAATTCTTATGCAGGTAAAATCGAAAATTAACTTATTTTGTTTATAACTTAAACACGACATCAAACAAACATAAAAAAAATCCATTTGCACGAGGACCATATCTATTTATATCTATGTTTATGTTAAAGACTTGTTATGTGACCGTCGGTAGTTTTCGGGGTCATCTCGATAGTTAATTAGATGGCGTCTAGACTAAAATACACACGAAATTCTGATATATATTATCTAGTATATGCATTATTAACTGTTTATTTAAGACATGTTTTAATTTGGATATGTGTTTTAATATGTTATAAATCAAATATGAGAATTTGAGTCAAATCGGTGAATATGATTTTGACAGCTAGTGTCCCTTTAAAATCAAGTGTGTATTCAGATATATCCGATGATTTCAGTGCGGACAACGAAGAGGATATAGTTATAGCAGCTAATAATGGTAAGTTTTATATACAATTTTAAATGTAGTCCTTTTCTATTTCTTCCTTATTCCATTTGAGGTTTTATACTAATTAGGTGAATGATAAGGGGGGAAAAGAAGAAATACACATGATGCTGAAGACAGGTTCACGTTGCAGAAAAAGGTTCAAACATATCGAGTGCACCGCAGTCGATTTTATTTCAAATACAACACGATAGAATATAATGAATGAGCAAAAATCAAGCGTGCAATCAATTTAAATTCTTTTGTTTTTCATCGGAATTTCCTCAACTTATTTTATTTCAATGAATTTATAGAGAATTGTGATCAAAATATCATATCTGTTATTCATTAAAAATGAATTAATATAGTTATTATATCTACCTCTTTCCTTCCTCGTTCACCAAAATTGACCTTGACTTGGCGGTTGTCTTGCAAGAGACGGTTATTTTTTTGCCCAAACCGTGCCACCTGAACACCCTCCCCCTTTTCTGTTTTTTTTCTGAAAGGTGCGAGTCGCCATTTTTTTTTAGTTTATTTGCGGATTGCTGTCCCTTGTAGTTTTTTTTCATGTAACTGAAATATAATTTTGCCCCCCCCAATTTCACTTTGCGAATGACACTTTTTTTCAAAACAAAGCCGCGATTGATTGTAGGTGTACATATCTTTGTGTCTGTGCTTAATGTATAGTTGTTGCATTCAATCAATTTTACCTTTGAGATCTGAACTAAAGTGAAGTGTTTGAAACTATTCATAAATACGTTGGAAACAAGAAAATGTAATTCGTATTTTGATGTTATATATAGTAAAAATACTTTTATTAATACCCCTCCTTTTTTCTGTTCCCATATTCATCATCGTTGATAAGCAAAGTTTTGCATTATATTCCTATACATGCAATAATAACAGATTTTCTTAACAAATAAAACTTGCAAATTACGCCGACACCTGATTATCATATATATAAAAAAAAACTGTTGTAGCCCCCTAGTTCATGTAGAAGTCTCGATTTGCTTTTTGTACACAGTGTGAGGTTAAGGTTGGTAATCAAATTCTTGATTAGCAATTTTGTCCAAGGAACAATGTATGGCTTGTACATCAACACTTGATAAAACATCTACTGTACGATTTTCTCCTAATTATGATCATACAATTATTTTACTTGTGGTCCTTGCATTGTGGCATGATCTATCAAGCGTTAGAAGCATTATTTTTTTTTCATTTGAATTGTAGCTGAAAATGATGTTAGGAAGAATGAGAACAACACCAGAGGTCGATTTTCATATCCAAAGACGGACGAGGATACATCCGAAATACCTAAAAGCACCAAAAACAACTTACAAGGAGCATCATCAACCAATTTTATTTAAATGGAAACAATCGAAAAAATTAGAAAAAATGGCCGTGAAATAAGTATTGACACTGGTTGTGTTAAAATCAATTTGAAAGTTTTTTTTTCAAGAAACCGTCTTGATGAGTAACGAAATTATTGTATTCAGAGGTGACCTTAATAAAAATTTTGTGTAATTGTCATTTGTTCTTTCGTTGTAAATTTTTTTCATATGAAAAAACAAATTGTGTGAATTGATTAATTTTTTTCAGTCCTTGAACTATCATTTACATGTAAGAATCAATTAGGCCACCTTCAGCTGTCCAATACTTTTAAGAAAGAGGAGGGTAATTCTTAAAAATATTGGACAGTTAAAGGTAACACAATGGTTTCTTACAGGTAAATGATAGTCCAATCACTGAAATAAAGAACGGTACAACAATAGAATGACTTCACAACAATGTTTTAAATCAGAGAACTTGGTATTTATCCATCAAAGATTGAAAGTTAATCATGGAAAAAGTGTTACAGAGTTTAGGAACTTGATCACTCCAAAACCTTTCGGTTGTTTGGTTAGGTACTAGTAACTCAATCTTAAGTTTTCTCTGTTGTGGTCTGTGGACTATTGTTCTCGTTTCGTATATTATCTTTTGATACTAGTTTGAATCTTCTTTCCTTATCAACCAAGCAATTCTAAATTATTATTTATTATTTTTGATAAACAGAAACCCAATTAAACATGGAAGCCGCGCTTTCTATAGACATACATGTGCAATCTCATCCCCCCCTCCCCCCCCCCCCCCCCCAAAAAAAAAAACAAACCAAAAAACAAAAATAAAAAACAACAAAAACACTTGAAGAAGGTAATAAATTAGCTTGGTTACCAGAATTGTCGTAGGGTATAGTCTCTAGAATAACAGCTTTTTGTACTGGCACAATCTTTTTTAGAACATAACATTCAAATCTTAAATCAACAGATACATTTTTTAACCTCTGTGAGACACACAATTCAAATAGGGATGTTTTTATGAACTCCTCTGCTGAAGCAACATTTTATGTAATTCTGATCACATTTTGTACGTGCCTGTCCCAAGCCAGGAGCCTGTTATTCAGTGATTGTCATCATCGTTGGTTTTCTGATTTGAATTGTTTTACATTTTGTTATACATTTTATGTCGGGTCATTTAATAGCTTGCTATGTAGTATTGGTTTTGCTCATTATTTAAGGCCTTACGGCGACCTATAATGACATATATGTCATTTGGTGTCTGGATGATTTTTGTCTCATTGGCAATCATAACACATCTCCTTTTTTTATAATGCAATTTTAAAGGTATCCGGTTTCATTTTGCGCAGTCATTGGTATTTTTTAGTGGTTTTGGTCCGTATAAATAGTTTTTAATTCACTTTCTGTTTTTAATTTTTAGGTCTGTAATGTTGACATACTATCAGATAGGGCTTAAAATCCATGCATGAAGAGTGTGATGTTTTTCAAACAGAACTCACGTTTAAGGGCATACGATACAGTTTCGATCCTTTTTGAGATTTTTTTTCGAAAATTTGCATACCAGCTATTTCTACCTAATCAATTGAAAAAAGCAATAAATAAAAAACTTTCATGTGCTAATTCTAAAGATAATGACTTCAAAATTTAGATATAGAACCCAAGTTTTATGTTTGTCACTAAATTTCTATCTTTTTGTCAGAAATATCTTACTTTTGTGTGAAAACATTTGGAATATATCTTTTTATTGCTCCAAATTTGTGCATTATTTTTTTAAACATTCGTATTTATCAAATTTCCATCATTTTTTTTTAAAAAGATGGCATTTTTTGTTGTATATTTATCTAATTTAAAAAGATCATCGCGATTTTGTACCTAAAACATGGTAAAAGAATCTTCAAACATGTACACAATTAAGCAAACTGATTTGCAGATGTAAGCAAACATAAAATTCAGGAACATTTCAGCAGACTTCATGACTCTTTTGCATATGAGTGTTTTACAGTTGAATGTGTCAGAAAAGACCATAAACTATTTTCAACATAATATTAACGTTCTTTTACAGATTTCGATTATAACCGTATTTGACCCATTGTCAGCTTTATATATAAGAAGATGTGGTATGAGTGCCAATGAGACAACTCTCCATCCAAGTCAAAATTTATAAAAGTAAACCATTATAGGTCAAAGTACGGTCTTCAACACGGAACCTTGGCTCACACCGAACAGCAAGCTATAAAGGGCCCCCAAAAATACTAGTGTAAAACCATTCAAACGGGGAAACCAACGGTCTAATCTATATAAAAAACGAGAAACGAGAAACACTTCTGAACCATATCAACAAACGACAACTACTGAACATCAGATTCCTGACTTAGGACAGGTGCAAACAAATACAGCGGGTTTAAACGTTTTAATGGTACCCTATACAATACAACATGTCGCATGCAAAGCACTCTAGCAATACACGATACACTTTCCTTTTTGGAGCTTCGGGAGATCATTTGAAAGGCATGTAAATAACTTTCCGGTGTTTCCCTTTGAATGGATGGTATGTATACATCCCTCCATTGTGTTATTGTGCTATGGTAATTTTTGTCTATATGGTGTTTTTATGCCATTTTGTTTTTCTTTGGTGAAAAAGTTATTTGTTTTTGTAATGCTTAAGATTATAACACAATGTTGACTGCTGTACCCCAATTTTTGACATTTTTACCTATAATGGCTGTATGTTTTGTTCACACATTGTTGTCAATATAATGGAATTATATGCGACTGTCATACAAGTGAGAGGTTTAGCTAACTATAAAACCAGGTTTGATCCACCATTTTCTACATAAGGAAATGCCTGTACCAAGTGAGGAATGTGACAGTTGTTTTCCATTCGTTTGATGTGTTTGAGCTTTTGATTTTGCCATTTGATAAAGACTTTCCGTTTTGAATTCCCTTGGAGTTCGATATTTTTTGTTATCTTACTTGTTATTATAACGACATATATTTAATATATTTTCTATAAGTTTAACCAAACCGTCTTCTAATATTTTGCAAGCAATTCAAGAATAAGTATTTGTATAATATCCCTTGAGTAAATTTATTGTCTTTTCCATTTCTAATGTGTCACCATTCAAAAAGAACAGTCAATTGTGAGATAAACTTCATTTGCCAAAAAGAACTAAAAGTTTATTTCAAATGCTTACAGTAGTCATGATATATATCTAAATATCCTTGAAGGTTTCCTGGTGAATCGAACAGTATCATCCACATAAATAAGAAAAAAAAGTTTCATGTACACTCTAAGAAATCGGTTATACAAGCCTTTGCACTTTAATTCTTCTAAATCATTTAAATTCAACGAAAACAAAAAAGGAATACATTTTCCCCTTGCCTAACACCAATATTATTAAGGACATTGTTTTTCTCATCAAACAAATAACCCAATTGAAAACGAATGAAATCATCCATAGTTTCATTACCCCATCTAAAACCATTTTTGTTTTTTTGAAAATTGAATTATATTCATTCGAAAAAACTTTTAACAAACATACCGAACTCCAAGGTAAACTAAAAAAAGGGGTAGTCCATAAAAAATCAAATGTTAAACTTAATCAACCAACGGAACGAATAAAAAAAACCAACTGTCATATTACTGATTTACTACAGGCATTTGCTGACGAAAATGATGGGTTAATCCTGGTTTTATAGATTGCTTATCCTTCCACACGTATGACAGTTGTTTATAGTTCCTAAATATTGAAAAATTGGATGAGTAACCCAAACAGATATAATAGGTTAATGTGACAATGATTGGGATTCAGCAGCCGTAATTATGTAAACATACATTACAGACATACAACACAGTTGACTGATTAAGAAATTGAAACAAACATACAAATACATCTAAAAAAGACGCCAATAAAAAATGTTGTAGTTGATAGTAAATTTGACAAAGACGCCAACAAAAAGGTTTTAGCAGTTGATAGTACATACAGTTTATAGTATACACATCCTCGATAAAGTACAAATTGAGTAAACTATAAACATAATTAATATAAGGGTAAACAAAATGAAAACCACACTATAAAAACCTCTTGCGTGCGGATCGTACCTCTGAGCTCATCTGCACCAGGAACGCCCGAAGCCAAAAATCTGATAGCTGGATGCATAAATACTAAGTCGCGTCAAGAGCCAAACGACAAAAAGAACACAATAGCACAAAGACAAATACAGGGGAAAGTGTAAAGTAAATAGAAATATACACAAATCGAAAAGTACTTAGACCTAATACAGCACCTAAATCTTTAACTCAAGACTATCTTGTATCGTTTGTAAAGTAGACACTTAATATTTATCAATTAGGTCTTGGAACTTTTTGAGAAAAAGGACAAGACGTTTTTTGACAAAACTCTGGCTTATTATTTTTTTTCACTCAGACACCGAAGAAAAGTTAAGCCTGTTATAAAAAACCGATTTAAAGACTTTGCTAAGAATCTAATGATAGGTCGAATTTTCTTAACGTTCTGGCTAACTCCTTTGTTTTTATATATTCAGAAAGCAAAATATCAGGCAGTATTCCTCTGTCAAAAGTTTTGGTAAAAAAATGTTACCTAAACATCAGAAAACTTTCTAAATGATTATTTCAGATTCACAGTTAAACCTGAATAATGGCCCAAGGCCTTATTGTTCTTCAAACTTTCAATAGACTTTATAAAAAAATCAGCTGTAATAGCCAAGTTCAGTTCATCATTCAGTCTGTCAAAATCAGCTCGATCATTAAGATAATTTCCTCACTTGAACCATTATTTAATTGTTTAACTATCTTACAATATTTAAAGGCATAGGCGGGTTTTATTGTAACACTGTTCAAAATTTTCCAGTATTTTTTAGGGTTTTGTTTTATTTCCATTTTTGAATAATGTTCTTAATTGTTTTCTGTGTTTAACTATGCTTTAACAAATTTCCCTTTTATATCTTTTCTCTAAATGTTTACCTCCTCATTTCATGACCTATAGTTTCCTGCTTTTTTTTTGTGGAATTGTATTTTTTTTTTTTGCATCGGCAATGCAATTTTAATTTAACCAGGGTTTAGAATATTTTGTTACATGTATGTTAAATGTTCTTTCAGTACCAAATGTTTTTATTTAACCACTAATTATCAGTGTTG